GAGAAATGAAGGGAATGCATGTCAGAAAACAAGAAATAAGTTTGTCCCTCTTTGTGGACAGCATGATTGTGTAGCAAATAGCAAGCAATCAACTGAATCCCCTGGAACTAGTAAGTTAGTTTAGCAAAGTTGGAGAATACAACTTCAGTGTACCAAAATCAATTGTATGTTTAATAAACTAGCAATGAACAATTGGAAATGTTAAAAAAATACAATTTACAATAACACCCCCCTTCACTGAAAACAGAAAATATATAGGTATTTATTTAACAGACTATGTGCTGGATCTGTTTCCTGAAAACTGTAAATCTCTAGTAAAAGAAATCAAACAAGGTATAAATAATTAACAAAAGATAAGCCACAGGTGGAGAAACTTTGGAAATCATATTTCTGATGAAGGGTTTGTATCCAGAATATTTAATGAACCCTCAATACTCAATAATAAGTAAACAAACAACCGAGTTAAAAAATTTGGTAAATGTTTGAATAAAACACTTCCACAAAGAAGTGGCAGATAAGTATATGAAAACATGTTCAACGTCGTTTGTCACTAGAGAAATACAAATTAAAACCGCAACAATAATATTCAATTACACACCTATGAAATGGTCAATTTAAAAATATTGGCTGTAATGTATGTTGATGAGGAAGTGAAATAACTGAAACTTTCACTGAATGTTTTCCAGTGCATTCGGGAATACAAATTTTTACAGCCAATTCTGAAAACAGGCTAACAACTTACGAAGTTAAACATACACTTACGAAGTTAAACATTCACTTACCAGAGGACCCAGAAGTCCCATTCCTAGGTATTTACTCAAGAGAAATGAAAACTTACCTGCACACAGAAATCTGTGTACAAATGTTCTTAATGGCTTTATACATAATTGCCAAGAAATTAAAACAGCTCAAATGTCCTTCAGTGGACGAATTAACTGTGGTATATCCATACAATGAAATACCACTTTACAAGAAAAAGGAACAAACTACTGATGACACACAGCAACTCAGATTTATCTCAAATACTCTATGCTAGGTGAAAGAAGCTAGGCTCAAGAGTCTACATGTTGTATGATTCCATTTATATGGTTGTCTATAGAAGTCAAAATTATAGAAACAGTGGTTGCTAGGTTCTGGGGTGTCTGGAGGGCTTGATAATGAGGCAGCTTAAGGGAAATTTTTGGGAGTGATGAAACTATTCTGTCTTGATTTTGGTGATGCTTTGATGACTATATACATTTATCTTAACTCATAAAACTGTACATGAAAAGTGAATTTTACTGTATGTAAGTTTAGAAGTGAATAATAATAATGGATAAAAAGGACAATATTAATATAGACATGTTGGCTATAATAAGATATACAAGATGTTATGTTTATCTTGGCTCACCACTTTGTAACCAAAAACATCAATGGCTCATCCAAAATTCACATTTTTAATATTGGAAAGAATGTGTTATATTTGAATTGATGATGATTTTATGGACTTGTTCCATTTTTATTTATTACTTATTTATTTAGAGACAGGGTTTTACTCTGTCACTCAGGTTGGAGTGCAGTGGTGCAATCATAGCTCACTGTAACTCAAACTTCTGGGTTCAAGTGACACTCCCACCTGAGCCTCCAGAATAGCTAGGACAGGCACATGCCACCATGCCCCACTAATTACAAAAACAGTTGTAGAGATGGGGGTCTCACCATGCTGCCAGGCTGTTTTCAAAGTCCTGGTCTCAAGAAATCCTTCTACCTCAGTCTCCAAATGTGTCATCCCATTTGGAAAATCTTGTTTACTTATAATGAATACTTATAAGTAAATTTTTTGGTAATTTTCATATGTTTTAATTAGCTGGGGCATTAGTAAGACATTGAGCTGGTTTTAAGTATGGCATTGAATCTATAAGAACAGTGTTACATCATATAGGAATTTATCTCAAATGTTTCTGTGTGAAAATGTAGCCTTAGCTATCTGGAATCCCTAAGGAAGCAGTCCTTCTTAGAAGCTGTATTTTTCAGGTACTTCCAAAACAGCAAATCTAAAAAAATTTACTAATTGTTCAGCTAGCTTAAATAGAACATACTAAGCATGATTTAATATTTTCTCAATGTCTTAGAGTCTTCATTAAAATACCGAATCTTAAACCTGAGTGGAACCTGAAAATTTCCCTATTTGAATATGCTATATAAACTTAAGGGCCTAGTTATACTCAAAATATAGGCATGTTACAATTGTAACATGCTTTACACCTTAAGACTAATGAGTTCATATATCATAACTTATTTGTAGCAACCCAGAGTGATAGATGAGTTGTATAACCCAGCATTTTACAGACTTCATAATGGATATTCATGAAAATTAAATGATTTACCAAATTGTCAGCAATGAAGCTGAGCATAAAACCCAGGTTGTCTTATTCCTATGGGTGGACATCTGCTGAATGGGTAGCACAATACAGAATATTAGACTAGGAAATCTTGGGGGTAAAGCTAAATTAATTGTTACTTCAGCACTCAATCCCCTAATTCAGCCACCATCCCCACCACAATTCAACAAACTTAAATTTCCAGGAAACTGATGGTTTGTCAGTTTACCTTCCATATAAATAAAATTCCAACTCTAAATGTCATTATTTTAAAAACTCTAATTTGATTATTTTTTGCAAATGATTAACAATCTTGGCTGTGCAGTTATTCAATATCTTGCCACTACAGAGGTCAAGATAGCTAGGGTGGATGAAGATAATGATAAATTATCCTGCTCAAATGGGGTTATCTAGTTGTTGTTGTAAATAATTAACTTCCTACCATTTGAAAGAAAAATAGTAGATCTTTTGAGCAAAGTGGCCTTACTGCTGTTGCTACTGAATTTAAAGCGGAATCTAAAAAAGGTTCCCGCATTGTCTATTGTCAGAGTTGTAGTATTCGGAAATCTGTTTAGTACTCAGTCATCTATATTTGGCTATTGGTATCAGTGGGTAAGGACCTGCTGTGTTTTGTAGGTTGATATCATACTTAGATAAATGTAACAGTTGCAGCCAGCTAATGGGAAAACATAGGGCAGATATTATCACACTTGCTGATCATTCACACCTTATACTTTAGGATTTTTGCAGTAGGTACAGCACTGCAGAGGAGGATCAGAGCTCTGATTATACACTAAAAAATTGAAGTTTACCATTGCCCTCAGGACCCGTTTCAAAGTACCTTGCTTCTAAATCCATACCAGATGAAATATTTCAGGTATTTGATCTCCATCTTCTGGCTCTTCTCCTGACTGCAGTTGAACCATTTAGGAAAAGAAATCCCAAATTTCTCTGAAATCTGGCAGCATGATAGTAAAAAATTGCTTTAATGGATATTGTTCCTGCCCACTTGTCCAAGCCTCTTTGAAAATTTAGTTCAGTTTAGGCTTACATATTAGGGTATTTGAATGAGATCCCTTTCAGAAAGTTAGTAGAAGTCTTTGCTTCTGATGTTTCAGGGAGAAACTTTACTTTCATCTTTCCTCGTGCTTGCCTACATCTGATTTTCTCTAGTCAGATCTCTTAACATTAGATAGGAGATAGATGAGATAGATGCTTGTGTGGGCAGGAATGAAATTCAGGTGTACAGATTGCATTGGATGACTGGATGACTGTTTACTTTCCTTATTAGATAGCTTTATTGTTCGAAGTATTCAGAGAAAGATAAATTGTTTCCATGTTAATGTACTTGGTTATTTCCATACACAGTATGCCAGACAAATTTCTGTCTGGTTTGGCTTGTAGAGTTTTGTTGTCCTCCTTTCCTTCCTTCCTTCCTTCCTCCCTCCCTCCCTCCTTCCTTCCTTTCTTTCTCTTTTTCTTTTTCTTTTTTTTTTTTGACGAGGTTTCTCTCTGTCACTCAGGCTGGAGTGCAGTGGTATGATCTCAGCTCACTGCATCCTCCACATGTGAGGCTCAAGCGATCCTCCTACCTCAGCCTCCCAAGTACCTGGGACCACAGGCTCACACCGCCATGCCCAACTATTCTGTTGCTGTTTTCTTAACTTTGAAGAAACAATTTTCTTTTTTTTCTTTTTTCTGTCAACTTTTCAGATTAACAAGTTTAGTGTGACAGCTTTTAACAAGAACCCGAAATTGATTTAATCTAATTACAAAGATCATTTATGAATTGCATTACTAGAATTTATCATTGTTAAAGAAGAGTTTGACCTGATTTTTATTCTTTAAATTCAGAGTTGTATACCCTTAATATTAAACATTTTATCTACTGGCAGGAAAGATAAAGTGTTTCCTTAATTTTACTTATCTTGTCAAATTGTGTCAGCATCAATTTAGTTAAAAGGTACATAGTTTTAACATGGTTTATTTTTAGTAAAACGTACATAATTTTACATTTTTATTTATATGCTATGTTTATTAATTATTTTGGTTGGTATTGCCTTAAGCACAGAAATGTTCACAGTCACTAAACCTTCTTGTTTATTTTTAAGCTCTAAAGAGAGGTTATGTTTTAATATATAAAAATAATTCCTTTATCCAAGAAAGAAGAAAAATAAAAGCACCATTTTGTTCCAGAGCACAGCTTCTGGCTATAAAACATATGCCAGATGCCTTGCTTGACAAAGAACAGTGAGTGTCCCTATTGACAAATAATCACGTATGGCTACCACCATGTCTGACTTTGCTAGCCATAAATATTCATTTCAATGCAATAATCTTTTTTTCCATGCATTAACACTAAAGAGATAAGGACTTTTCTGTTTTTTTATTTTCTGTTTTTTTTTTCTTTAAAGTTGGCACTTTATCTGAACAAATACAATAAGTGCTTGCACTCTGCAAATTTTTAATTGAGAAGCTGTCTCCCTTTAGCACACAAATTATTGCCCAATACTGGGGATTAATTCACCTAAAGAAGACTTACAGCTTGGAAGCACTGAAATTGTATAAAAAATAGGTGTATAAATTCTACACATACCAAATTTTTATTCCAATTTTCAGAGTATCTTCTTTTATTTTTAGATGAATCTACGTTCTGTATTTACTGTAGAACAACAAAGGATTTTACAGCGTTATTATGAAAATGGAATGACAAATCAAAGTAAAAATTGCTTTCAGCTCATATTACAGTGTGCGCAGGAGACTAAGCTGGACTTCAGTGTAGTCAGGGTAAGTATTGAGGTCTTACACTCAAATATACAGCTTATTACAAGTGATATTTGCTTAATATGAGAAAAATATTCAGGGTATGAAGTCACTAATTTTATAAACAGCTTCACTTCCCTGGTGTAACAAAACTATTTTAAAAATAACTAGGGCTAATCATCTAGTATGTATTTGTTTCTATAAATACCTTGAAAACACAGAAACGTTAGTAGTGTAAACATCTTTTTAAAATCTTAGTTGTTTAAACTAATAAATACATTTAAGATTCATTGTTGATCTTATGCTCTTTAGTCCCCAAATTAATGTAGATATAAGCCCCCAAAATGATATTAATAAAACAGGCATTTACCAAGTGAATGCTATATATGTGACATATTTTTCATTGTATTTGAATTTTTCATCAAGGCATTTTGTCTGCTTTACAAATACTTTCTCTAAGTAAAACGTATATATTTTGATGGGTTAGCGAGTAAGAGACAAGGAATTCTAGAGGAGTAAATTTTTCTTTATCACAATCATAGTTATTCATCTGTAAAAATCAGGGCTACTACGTTCTTGAAAGGCAATGAGAAAGTGGTAGAGAGGAGGCAAGAGATAAATCTAAGAGGAATGGTCACAGATTTCGTTGAATGCATAGATCCTTTTATGTATGTTTGAAAATGTTACAAATCCTCTTGGTGTGAAAGCTTAGTGATGGAAAGATTAGCAACTTTCTTCTAGTTGGCATTCATTAGGCTAATTTGGGAATGAGAAAGGACGTCTGTTCTTAAGTTTATTTTGCTGTCCATATACCTTCAAAGACCCTAAAGATAAATATCTCTTAATAAGAAGGATTATTTGGAATGTATGTTTCTTAAAGACTAAAAGATTTATTCGCCTTCAAATAGAGAATTGTGCCACCAGTTCTAGAAGAAATCCAGGATACCTATTACTTTCTTTCCTTTTCTTTCTTTTTTTTGTTTTTGAGACAGAGTTTCACTCTTGTTGCCCAGGCTGGAGTTCAGTGACATGATCTCGGCTCACTGCAACCTGCGACTCCCAGGTTCAGGTGATTCTCCTGCCTCAGCCTCCCGAGCAGCTGGGATTACAGGTGTCTTCCACCACGCCTAGCTAATTTTTTGTGTTTTTAGTAAAGATGGGGTTTCGCCATGTTGGGCAGGCTGGTCACAAACTCCTGACCTCAAGGTGATCCGCCCGCCCCGGCCTCCCAAAGTGCTGGGATTACAGGCGTAAGCCACCGTGCCTGGCCCAGGATATCTGTTTCTTAATTGCTGAGACCAATCATTATACTCAATAGTGTTTTACAGTTTTCAGTGAATAAGAAGTCTTGCACTTATTTTGTTAAAATAACTCCTATTAAGAGCTCTAAATGGCTTATTTGAAGTATCTTTACTAAACCACAGAGGAAAATGTCTAATTGTCTTACAAAACGTAATATAAAAATGTATTATATTTCAAGTTAATGAGATTGCATTTAAAAAGTGCTACTGTTTCTCCCCCCTGCATTAATTTCCTCTGTTTTTTGTCTTTTTTCTTTCTTTTATCTTGTCGTTACTTTAAAGTGAAAACCCTTGCCAGGCAGCTGCATTGTGGATAATCTTTCATATTACCAATATGTTATTGCAATCTTCCCCTCATAACTTGTCACTGAATATTGAGAGTGTTCAAATACAGAGATTTACATTTATGCTCAAAATGGCGTGAAAATATAAAACAAACAATGGGAATGAAATATATAATTTCTTAGAATGTAGATTATCAGTAAAATGTTACATATTACAAAAAAGTGTACAAAATGTATTCATTCCCTCCATTCCAATGTAAATTGTACGGAAACACAGTCTTCCTAATCTAAATCCTGACACAGTTTGATGGCTTTTCCAGTTAAAGGGAAAAAGGAATTTTTTGTAGACTCATCACTCTACAGCCTACCCCCCTCCCCAGATACTTTGCTAGGATTATATGTTCTAACTGAAAGAGATCTTTCTTTATTATTATTAATATAGTATTTATTTTATTTTTCTTTAAAAAATCCTTAAGTTTCACTGTACTAAGAACTTGATATCAATGTAAAGAAAACTTAAAAGGTTAAAACATCAAGCTGCCGGGCGCAGTGGCTCACGCCTGTAATCCCAGCACTTTGGGAGGCCGAGGCGGGTGGATCACGAGGTCAAGAGATGGAGACCATCCTGGTCAACATGGTGAAACCCCGTCTCTACTAAAACTACAAAACATTAGCTGGGCATGGTGGCGCGTGCCTGTAATCCCAGCTACTCAGGAGGCTGAGGCAGGAGAATTGCCTGAACCCGGGAGGCGGAGGTTGCGGTGAGCCGAGATCGTGCCATTGCACTCCAGCCTGGGTAACAAGAGCGAAACTCCGTCTCAAAAGAAAAAAAAAAAAACAAGCAAAAATAAATATACTGGGGTAAAAAAACAAGAAAACAAAGAAGGAGATATAAAAAAAGAAAAAGAATTTTAGAGACAGTGAATTTCTAACAGAGAACCTAAACGTAAATTTATAGACACTAAAGATAATGGCCTGAATAACTATTCTTCCTTTTTTTCCTATGTAATATCACTTTATTACTTCCTAACTCCAAATTCTAATCATATCAATTTTGTTTGACCCATCTTATAATGTGTAATATAAATGAGACTCATTTACATCTTATAAGCTTTGGTATATTTTGATATTAATTGATAATAACTGAACAAATTTTAGTAAAATTTAATTCAGCTTTTGGGAAACTTCAGGCAATATGTTTTCTTCATTTTCATTTTAAATGGAAATATTTCTTATATACCTTCCTATTTATATGCTTTTCTACTTTCTTTGAGAATGTGAAAAATAATTGAACCCTTAGTTTTTGACTCAGGGTTTTTATATGGAAATCAGTTATTATACTGTGTCATAAAATAATAATACTCTCAAAACTTGGTAAGGTATATGGAGTTATTTTCTCTTTTATTAAAGGACCTCAGACTGCTATTTTGTGATTTCTCACATTGCTTCTGTTTTCTGTTTTTCTCACATCGTTTTACTTCTCCTTTTTAGTGAGCAACGTTTAGTGAACAATTTTAGTTTTGGTACTGTCAGGGTGCCTGCCAACAGCAACCTCTGTCACCAATATCCCTTCTATTTTGTTTTTTCTATTTTGTTGTTGATTAGAGAAAGTGGGTTTTAAGGTTAGGTGTTGTAGTGAAGTGCATGGATCTTGTGACACTATGTTGGTTGTGTTCTGGACAAGGGAGGTTGCTAGGTTGCTAGAGAGCTATTTCTTATGTACACGGATATTATTCTACAGCATTTTACTTTTTGAGGTATAGATTATATAAAAATCTATTAAACTACATAAGTATATATAATATGCATATGTATGTATAAACTGTACAACTTTATAAAAAAGCCATACATTTGCAATGCACTAAAATCACTCTTAAACATCCTGAGTTAAGGTAGACATTGTGTGAAGAAAACAAAGTAGGTTATGTTGTTGTTGTTGTTTTTTTACGTGGCCCAGAGCTGCGCTCCAGAAGTCATATTTTGTATTTTCACTATGCTTTCCCGTTAATTTTTTTTAATGTAGTACTTATATAGTTTTTGTAAAGATTGTGTACAAATCATGCTTCTCACAGGTTATTTTTACTTAAATAGCCATAATGCGGCAATTTATTTTGAATGTTTGTAAAGTTCAACTTTTTACATTTTAGTTTTAAGTATTTCTCTAGTATATAGTTTAAAACCTTTTAGTTTTTCTCCCCTGTCTCCTGTGACATTTATATTCGTACATCTTTCTGCTTGTAATTCTCATTCCTACTGTTTCATGAAAGTAAGAGTGAGTTTTAAATTCCCACTGCCTCACGTGAAGTAAAGTGGAACACCACAGTTTGTGAAACATTTTCTTTATGGGAGAAACAATAATTATAAAACTAAAATGGCCAATAGAAATTACTATTTTCAGGAGTTTCTAACCACTACACATAGGGTGGTGGAAGGGTTAAGGTGCCTTGAGGTCAGGTAGGATTGACAAAATCTTTGCTTTCCCACTTGCCCCCAGAATCCTTCCACAATCTATTTATTATTTCCGAACCTCAGTTTCTTCATTTACACAATTAGAAAAATAACGCCTACCAAAGGAGTTTTAATATATAAAAAAATATAAAACCTTTGTTATATATAAATATATATAACACATAATGGGGGTTCAATACATATTAGCTTTTATTTATAGTATTACAGCAATATTAATGTTGTATATAATTATAAATTTTGTAAGAGGTACAGGAAACATTGAAAATTGAACAATTTATGTGGTCTTCCAAAATACATTCATACAAAACTTAAACAAATATACTCTGAACCATGTTTGTTCAAGGCTAGTTCATTTAATGTTTTCATTCATTCATTTATTTTAATTGCATTTTTAGGAAAATTTTTGGTAGAGACTGAGTCTCACTATTTTGCCCAAGCTGTTCTCAAAATCCTGGCCTCAAGTGATCCTCCTGCCTCAGCTTCCGAAAGCGCTGGAGTTACAGGCATGAGCCACTGTGGCTGGCCTGTTTAATTCTTAATAGATTAATGTACTTTGGTGTTTATAATATGGCATGGCTTTTGAAATTAAGTTTAGTAATCACATTATGGAATATATTTCTTATTGTATACTTTAAGAACTATGACTCAGAACAATAATACTAAGATAATTATAATAAATCACTTATACTAAAAATACGTCTTTTGTAATCAAATCCTAAATGCCAACCACTAGTAGTATTTTTATTAATAATCTTATTCTGTTTACAAAATATATATTGATTGTATAAAATTCGGTAAGTAGAGAAAAGTGTAAAGAAGACAATAACTACTAAAATTAATGACAAACTGAAAACAAAAATTTGCAACTTGTAACAAAGAACTATAACCATCTTTAGTAGAAAATTACTCTTACAAATCAATTAAAAAAGATAAACACCCCAATGTAAAAATAGGTAAAGGTAATGGATAAGCAATTCTATGAAAGTATTATTGCAACCATAGACATTCATATCAAAGCAGCAATTATACACTTTTTATTAACTCTTGGACTAGTAAAGACTATCAAAAGATAATGTAAACTCTTGTTTAAGGGTGTGAGGAAACCAGAACTCATACATTGGAGGGCACTTTGAAAATATCAGAGCCTAGCATTTCTTTTTTTTAGTATTACATTTTAATAGAGCAGCATTACAAAAATACGTCTAAGATGAAGTATATTGCAATATGACTTATAATAAAGAATATTTCTAAGAATAATATGGTAGTATGAAATTAAGAATAATTAAGAAAAAGTAAGAATAATATGGTAGTATGAAATTAAGCAAATTATGATATATTTATAAAATGGAAATAGAAAAGCCTAAAGATTGTGAATGTACATTTGTTTAACAACACTATGAGCATTTCTTAATGCCATTAAATAGCCTACCTTTAGTATGTTTAAAATTTTTCTGTATTATAAATAAATATATGATGAACATCATGCATATAAACTTTATCTACATTTGTGATTATTTTAGGATAAATTACTATAAATGTATTTACTATGTCAAAATGTATAAACATTTTGAGGTTTTTTGATATATATTAATTGGATGGGTTTTGAGGAGAGAAAAAATAATACACTCTGTTCTCAAAGTCTGAGGGTCTTACTAAGTGTGAGTTCCTGATCATCTTATCCCTTATACTTTAGTCAGTTTTTCTGTTATTTTATCTTTTTCTTTTACCTTTCTGTATGCCTTGATTCCAAGACAAATGAAAATATAATGTATCACCTAAAATTTGTTTTTTCTTGTTTTTTTTTTTTTAATTTTTTTTTCATAATACCATGTTTTATCCTTCCAGACGTGGGTTGGCAATAAGAGAAGAAAGATGAGTAGTAAGAACTCTGAATCTGGAACAGCAGCAACAGGAACCTCTTTGTCAGCTCCAGACATTACAGTAAGAAATGTGGTTAATATTGCTCGACCCTCAAGCCAGCAGTCTTCTTGGACATCTGCCAATAATGATGTCATTGTAACTGGTATATATAGTCCAGCCAGTTCATCAAGTAGGCAAGGAACAAACAAACATACAGACACACAAATTACAGAAGCACACAAAATTCCTATTCAGAAAACAGCCACTAAAAATGATACTGAGTTTCAGTTGCACATTCCTGTTCAAAGACAAGTAGCACACTGTAAAAATGCTTCCCTACTCCTAGGTGAAAAAACAATTATTTTGTCAAGACAGACAAGTGTGGTAAATGCTGGAAACTCAGTATTCAATCACACGAAGAAAAACTATGGAAACTCTTCAGTACAAGCTTCTGAAATGACAGTACCTCAAAAGCCTTCCGTATGCCACCGACCTTGTAAAATTGAACCAGTTGGGATTAAAAGGTCATATAAGCCTGAACACACAGGTCCAGCATTACATAACTTATGTGGGCAAAAGTCAACTATTAGAGACCCTTACTGTAGAACACAAAACTTGGAAATCCGTGAAGTGTTTTCATTGGCAGTTAGCGATTACCCCCAGAGAATTCTGGGAGGAAATGCACCACAGAAGCCTAATTCAGCAGAAGGAAATTCTTTGTCCATTGCAATGGAGACTGGAGATGCTGAGGATGAATATGCCAGAGAGGAAGAGTTGGCATCTATGAGAGCACAGATACCAAGCTATTCGAGATTTTATGAAAGTGGCAGTTCCCTTCGAGCTGAGAACCAAAGTACAACCTTGCCCGGACCAGGAAGAAATATGCCAAATTCGCAAGTGGTGAATATTAGAGATATGTCAGACAATGTACTGTATCAAAACAGAAACTACCATTTGACACCACGGACCTCATTACATACAGCATCTAGTACAATGTACAGTAATACAAATCCATTACGGAGTAATTTTTCTCCTCATTTTGCATCATCAAGCCAATTGAGATTATCACAAAACCAAAACAATTACCAGGTAATGTGTAAATTTATTTTATAAAGGTTTTAAAAACTGTGTTTGTATCCAGTTAGATTTGGGACCAGGATTATTTAACTCATATATTGAAATAATGTGAGATTTTGCTTCAAAGTGGTGGTTTGGGGTTAACTCCTTGAAGAATCTTGTGCTGTCCTTGTCATGCTTTTAAATGATGAGGTCTTTTTTTCATGGAATATAGTCATTTTTATAGCACAGCAGTTTTTTCCTGGCATTTAAAATGATTTTGTTCAGGAATTGGGAGCTTCATGGAAAGCATGGAATTTTCCATCACTAAAATAGGGTTAAATTGGTCAGGCTCATGCTCTTGAACATAGATTATTCCTGTAATGGTTTTTAGTTGCATTTGGGCAAGCTATCACTAGATGAGTGGTGGCTTCCCTGGTACATATTCAGGCAAGTCAATCATTTCTTTAGATGCTGATGGCTGATAAGTCAGAGGCTATGGTAACTCAGCCAAATGCTTTTTATAAATGTAAATGCTTTATTAAAACATTAAATGAGACAGCAGTCAAATCATCATTTAAAAATGTTTATAGGGAAAAGACATATTCAGAGTAAGAATGACAGCAATTTTAGACCTGCGCACAAAATAGTTGTTGTTTATTGTTTCATATATTCAATTGCTCAGGTATGCTTCAAATAATCACATTAATAGTGAGTTATAAGCCTACCTCAGAATCTCTTAACCTATAGATAATTCCCTCTGAAAAATCTGCTTTAGAGAATTTGAATAGTGGAGCTTGGGTGTTTGCCATTTTTCCTTGCTTCTGGCTAGGACTTCTTATCTTTTCCTTTCCTTTCTTTTTTATTTTTTTCAGATGGAATCTCGCTCTGTTGCCCAGGCTGGAGTGCAGAGGCACATTATTGGCTTACTGCAACCTCCACTCCTGGGTTCAAGCGATTCTCCTGCCTCAGCCTCTCCAGCAGCTGGGACTACAGGCATGCGCCACGACGCCCAGCTAATTTTTGTATTTTTAGTAGAGACAAGGTTTCACCATGTTGACCAGGCTGGTCTTGAACTCCTGACCTCAGGTGATCTGCCCTCTTTGGCCTCCCAAAGTGCTAGGATTAGAGGCATGAGCCACTGCGCCTGGCCTAGGACCTCTTATCTTTTCAACCAGAATACTTAAAATTTGTCTGGATTTAAGATGCTTCCAGGCTGTTCTCAACCAATTTAAGGAACCATCTTCTTTGAACTCCCTCCAACTTACAGCGCCCTCCTTCAAAATGAAAAATAGTAACACAGTAGAGGAAGTATCCCTCTGGCATCTGGCCCTAACACATGAACTCCATCATCATCATTAATAGTCATTGTTTATTGAGAATTGACTCATTTTTATGTATGTGCTCTTTACTGAAGCATGCTTAGAGTAACATTAAATCATACCTTTAAGATCCTCTACACCCCCCTCCTTCATTCATCTACTCTTTTGTATTTCTTTATCCCTTCAATTTTGTTCTTAATAATAATAATAACAATAACACCATTTGTTGAGGGCAGACTGTGTGCTGGGACCATTGGTCACTTTATATAACCAATCTCATTTAATCTTCATGATGATTTGGACTGACAGGCATTTTATCCATATTTCAATTGCTTGGCTAGGATTACACAGCTAGTAAATGACAGAACCAGAATTCTAGCTTAGCAATCTATCATTTATCATATTTTCTGATTTTCCATACAGCATAACTATTTCAACTGTATCTGACTTAGTGGGAGGCCTGAGAATGCAAGGTTTAATTTTAATATTTTTTAAAACCCACCACTCCCTTAAGGATAATTTAACCTGTGATTTTACCTTTACGTAGTCTCAATTTTTTCTGACAGAACTTTTAAAGAAACAATTTTTTTAAAATAAAAGAACCTTCTGAGTGCAACGAAATTTAGCAACTATTGTATGAATGGTAATCTTCTTCAAAGAAAGGCAACCTGACATAACAATTTAGAGTATGGGCTTAGAGCCTGGACAGACTGAGATTCAAATTCAAGCTCTGCCACTTTCTACTTGTAAACAGATAAGAAGGTCTAGCCAGTGGCTGATCCTCTTTGTGTAACAGTTTATTTATTTGCATAATGTGGTTACTACTTCCGACTTCACAGGAATCTTGTGACATGAAATGAAAAAAATCTATGCAAGGTTCTTTGTACCTTTCCCGGCACATAAACTTCTTATACATATGAACTCATAGTTGGAAAGTTAATGAAACTCTGCTAGTCTAGGTCTCATTTACATTGCATTTCAAGTAAAATTTTGCACAGACCACAATTATCACAGGTTACTTGAGGAATATATAGCACGTAGTATTGGCTAAAAAAAGACTGGAAGTAAGCTATCACCTTCATTACAACTATTAAAAGCCCAATGTTATATTATACTAGACCTCAGTAAGCCAATCTGACTTGAGAGAATATGGTGGAGAACACTTGGAGTATCACTTTACCCCAACTTTTTCTTTAGTTAGTTCATATGGAAAACCAAGGCAGCCTGAGGAAGTTGAATCCATGGAGTTTTAGCCTCCAAGGTGTTGCTGAAGCTCTATCACCAACATTCTTGTATCAGAACTTAGAATCTGTGGTTATTTTGTCAACCTTCTAGTTATGAAACTGTGAGAAAAAAAAAACAATTATCTTGGATTTCTGACTGTGAAACTATATAACAGAGATAGCTGACTCTTTTCTGTGTTACACCACTTATCTTCAAGTCAAGATAATACTTCTTGAGGATAATTATCCTGAGGATAATAACCAATCTAGAAAACGGAGTACAAATTGAAGAAATCCTAAAGAATGCTAAGAAGTTAAAATCAGCTCTTTTGGGGAGCCTCTTGGGAATATAATATTAAAGGTTGAAGTGGTATTAAGGAAACTGGCAGGATGTGGCTATAACAAGATACTACAGTCAAGTTCCATTTCGAAAACTCTCCAGGCTAACCTCACACATGGAGGCAGATTGCAATCATATTGGTCTCCCTCCAAAGTGCAATTCCCTTTTCACATTACTTCAATGTCAGATTGCCTGCTTATCACAAGGGTGCTGTTGTGATTAAAGTTTATTAATGATCAACTTTTGAAGCACTTTGGAAGAAAGGTGCTATATAAATACAGCATTTATCATTTCAATTATTATTGTGGCTTGATAATTAATTGCATTTCCATCTCTCATGGATTTTAGAAGGTCTTTGGAATTAATAGATGTAAAGCACTTTGGTAAACTTCCTTTAAAAATCTTTATAAGCACAATATATTTCTATTAGAAAAAGTGCCTTGGTGGTGTCTTCCAACTTCCTTTATTACTTGTGGACTTTAGTGCTTTTGTTAAAAAAAAATGAAAGTTTAATAATGTTAGAAACTTTAAATATCATGGCATCTTAAACCAACACAAATGTTATTTTACCTGAGGAAAATGAGAGCCTTGAAGATTGAGGGACTTGGTCAAAATGACTCTCAGGAAAATATTCAAGTTTTTTTTTTTTTTTTTTTAATATTGGTAATCTGTGTTGAGTGAGTAGAGTTAGCAGGGATCAGTTTTAAATAATTGGAATAAGACATAAATTACATAATACAAAATTCACACATTCTGTAATCCCAGCACTTTGGGAGGACGAGGCAGGTGGGTCACCTGAGGTCGGGAGTTCCAGACCAGCCTGGCCAACATGGTGAAACCCTGTCTCTACTAAAAATACAAAAATTAGCTGGGCATGGTGGCAAGTGCCTGTGATCCTAGCTACTTGGGAGGCTGAGGCAGGAGAATCACTTGAATCCAGGAGGCAGAGGTTGCAGTGAGCCAAGATCATGCCATTGCACTCCAGCCTGGGCAACAAGAGCGAAGCTCTACCTCAA